AGCAGCAGCAGCAGCAGCAGCAGCAGCAGCAGCAGCAGCAGCAGCAGCAGCAGCAGCAGCAGCAGCGTGCCTTGTTGAAGTGGAGGGCCGCCACTGGATTGAAAGGCAGCACTTTGTCTTGCAAGTACAAGTGCATGTGCAAGTCGCTGAAGCGCTCTTTGTGGCAAACCAAACGCACGTCGCCCCGCGGCGCGCAGCGCCGCAGCCACCCCACAAACGAGTCCGGGTTCCCCACCTGCAGCAGCAGCAGCAGCAGCAGCAGCAGCAGCAGCAGCAGCGGCGGCAGCAGCAGCGGGAGGTGAGCAGCGGGGGGGAGCAGTGGCGGCAGGGGTGCTGGGGGCGGCTGAGCAGTGGGGGAGCTGCGGCTGCTGCAGCAGCAGCAGCAGGGGAGCAGTGGTAGTGGCAGCAGCAGCAGCAGGGGAGGAGCTGCTGCAGCAGCAGCGGCAGCAGTTCAGCAGCAGCAGCAGGTGAGCAGCGGCTGCAGCCCCGCAGCAGCAGGCGCGCCCCAGCCCCAGCGCCCGCAGCAGCCGAGCTGCTGCTGCTGCTGCTGCAGCAGCAGCAGGACGCCCCCAGCGACAGCAGCAGCAGCAGCAGGACGCCCCCAGCGACAGCAGCAGCAGCAGCAGCAGCAGCAGCAGCAGCTGACCGTGGCGGACATGGCGAGGAAGGGACAAGGCAGCATTTGAATGATTCTTTCCACTTTTGGACCTTCCAGTTCTTCAGAAATAATATGAACTTCATCTAAAATGACATATTTCAAGTTGCTGCAGAACGCCCGGTGGCTCGGGTGTCCAGACAGCAGCAGCAGCTCCAGAAAGTGCGGCACCGTCACGAACACCTGAGGCGCCAACAGCATTTATTATTTATTTATTTATTTATTTATTATTATTTATTTATTATTTATTTATTATTTATTTATTATTTATTTATTTATTTATTTGTTTGTTTGTTTGTGGTTTGTTGTTCGGTTTCATTCTGTTGGGTCTTTGGGCTGCTGCTTTTCGGCAGCCAGAAACGGACTCGAAGCAGCAGCAGCAGCAGCAGCAGCAGCAGCAGCAGCAGCAGCAGCAGCAGCAGCAGCAGCAGCAGACCTGGGCGTCGAGGGCTTTGGGTGTACATACACCCTGCAAGACATGGGCGGAAAGAATCTTCTTGCAATTTACTGGATAAGATTTGCTGCTGAAGCGCCCATATATTTCTGCATACACCTGAGCAGCAGCAAAACGCAAACAGCTGCAGCAGCAGCAAATAGTTCGCCCCAAAATAACACAAATCACATAACAATAAAAGGCACCAAAGATGCTGCAGCAGCAGCAGCAGCTGCTGCTGCTGCTGCTGCAGCAGCAGCTGCGGCAGAAGACCTAATGCTGCTGCTCCTGCTGCTCCTGCAGCTCTTACTAGTGCTAATCCTGCTGTTTCTAATGCTGCTGCTACCACTACTAAAGCTATTCCCACTGCTGCTGCTGCTGCTGCTGCAACTGTTGTTCCTGCTGCTGCTGTTGCTGCCTCAACTCCTAGTGCCATTCCTGCTGCTGCAGCTCTACAACTCCTACTGCCAGTACTCCATTGGTGCCGGCGCCCCCGCTGCCTCTGCTTCTTTGCTGCTGCTGCTGCTGCTGCTGCTGCTGCTGCTGCTGCTGCTACTACCGCTGCTGCTGCCCCTACTACATCAACTACTACTGCTTCTCTGGCGCTGCTACCGCGGGTGCTGCTGCTGCTGCTACGCTGCTGCCGCTGCCGCGGCTGCTGCTGCCGGTACCGCTACCGCTTCTGCTGCTACCGCCACCGCTGCTGCTGCTGCTGCTGCTGCTGCTGCTGCTGCTGCTGCTTGCCTGCTGCGCGAGGGCCTTGTTGGGGCAAACGTAGACGATGCAGCCCTCGTTGGAATCTCTCAAGACGAGTTCCATCGCGTAGAAGCAAACGTAAGTTTTGCCGCTGGCCGTGGGGGCAGACACAAACACCGAGGCGTAGCTGCAGCAGCAGCAGCAGCAGCAGCAGCAGC